CCCCGAGGTGTTCAAGGCCAGATTGGAGGGGGCCCTGGGCAGCCTGGTCTAGTATTAAATGGGGAAGTTGGTGGCCCTGCATGTGTCAGGGGGGTTGGAGATTCATGATCCTTGAGGTCCCTTCTAACCCTGTCCATTCTGTGTTTCTGTGTTTCTATGTGTCTGTGTTTTACATAAGCACTGAGACCAGATTTTTTGCACCGGCAATCTAGTAGACATCTGCCCAGGCCTGCGTTCTGTACCTAGGATACTTGTGCAGCACAGTCACATTTAGGGGATTATGAGAAGTGTGGGTATTTTCAGTGACTCTGCAGGACTTCAGACACTGTAGCCAAAAAAATACCTCAGCAGGTGTGCATCTCTTTTCTTTTCTTTTTTTTCTTTTTTAATTGCCTGAATTTCGATCAGTTTTCATGTGGCAGGGGAAGGCCCAGAACTGGGTTTGCCGCTAGTGCTGGACTTCAGAGGATTGTTTAGAAAACATGAGAACCCAAGACTATTAAAATAAAATCTCAAGAATTGCTTTACGTGCCATAATAGCCAAAATCCTTTCAGAAGTAGCAGGGGAATAAAAAGAAAACCCCGTAGAGATAAGACACCTGTGAAGTTTCAGGCCACACTGTTACATTTTGTTAGATGATAAGCAACTGAGAGCAATCTTTCCTCAGCTGGGAAATGCCTTCAATTGTGCTCTCGATGACTCTAAATCACTGGAAGGAGAAAAAAAAAGAGAGAGAGAGAGAGAGAGAGAGAATGGGGAGGAAAAAGCAATGGGGAGGAAAAAGTAGTGCCTGGAGCTTTTGAAAGGGCTCAGAGCTTTGTGGGACGTGGACAGCTGTGGCTGTGATCTGCTGCTGCAGGGAAGCCCCGAGTCACCAGCCTTACAGTGTGTCCTCCTGGAAGGAACTGGAGGAGGTAGCATGTGTACACTCACCTCTAGGCTCTGTTCTAGGCAAGCTTATCTCTGAGCTGCCCATAGCAGGGATGGCTGCGCTACAGATGTGCTCTTACCCTAAGATTCACTCTGTATTGTTTCTGGCCACGTTCAAGCTACGCTCAAGGACAAGACCGTCTGATACCTCTATTTTCAATAAGGTAGGATGCAGAGGCTTTGCCTTTCAGCGTAGGATCGCTCTTTGGGACAGGGTGCTTACGAGAAGCGCTCAGATTTCCATAGGATACATATGAAAGGGTTCTTTAAATGCTGATTTAACCTGTTCGTGGTCTTCACTGGACAGCCTGAGGGAAGAGCCCTCAACTTAGCTGTTTGTTCATTCGGTTAAGGTCATGGGGGGCTGATCCTCAACGCTTCAGCTCTACTTGCTGGGGGCAGTTCCCATCTCTGGCTGCGGTTACGAACACTGAGCTCTGAGGCAGCAGGGGCTGCAAAGCAGCTGGAAGCCAGTGCAGTGCGTATCCTTGTTTTGCCCTTCTGGAGTCAGGATGTAACTGGAGCTTGCACCTAAGCCAAGGAGCTCACAGGGGATCTATACATACTTTTGGGGGGTGGCGCCAAATGGGTGATGAAGCTTGCTGAGGGCTACCAGCTTTCTAATCCACTTTGTGAATTGTTATTCTTATCAGTTCTTTGTTTTCCCGTATTCCCATTGCATTTGACTCCTAACTGCTGCATTCAGGTTTCTAAGACTTCATATTCTCTTGGATGTTTCTTGGCTCCTTTGATGTATGTATGTAGGTCACTCCGAAGGTAATGCCTCCTATTTATTTCCATGGAAACCACAACGGATACAAAGAGCACAAGAACACTAGTTGTTAGAGCAAATTCTCAGCTACAAAACACTCTTTTGCAACATAGTCACTGTTAGCTATGCATTTTCACCAGTGACGAACAAGAGCCTGCACGTTGTGCTTGTCAAAATCTTCAGCAGACCTGATCCACTGTTTCACAGCTGCTATGGCAGCGTCACTGCTGAAACACACTACCCAGCGCCTCGCTGTGCTTGCATCCACTGTTTGGTCTCCGTCAGCGTTCAGCAAGCACTGCTGAATGTCAATGGGAGCAGTTTTTTTCCAAGGAGGAATTCAATGACACGCCTTTATTTCTTCCACCCTTCAGTGTCAGTCGCCATTTTGTCAGACTGCCCCTGTGCTGCCGTCTGTCTCATGGAAACAAACTGTAACCGAGTACTAGTGGGAAGGTTCAACCTTTATTGCTGTCTGCCTCTGACATTGTGGACCAACATTATAAAATAGGAGGCATTACTTTCAGGTCAGCCTTCATATGAAAGACCGTGAAGCTGTTGCAGCCTATCAGATGAGTGACACAAAACTCGATGAAGCAGCTCAGGTCATGTACAACATCGAAGCCAACCTGAGCACCCTAAATCCTTCACAGTCCTTTGACTAGTGCAGCCAAGAGGAGCTAGGACTTTCAACTAGATTTTTCATATCAAAACCAGGCAATTCACAGTCACTTTGTTCCATGGCCATATGAGGTTGTAGTCTGACTTGAATGGGAGAGGTATTCTTAAGATTGCTTTTGTTTATTTATTTTCAGATGTGCATACCACAAAAATTAGATTGAGGTTTGGATTTTGTCACGGTTGTCTCCTGCAAAGACTGGTTCTGTCTGTAGCAAGTAGTTTCTGGAGGGTTTCTTCTATTAATTACATGCTGCCACCCACTTATTTCCTTAAGGCGGATTTTGCATCCGTGTTTTCCTGTGAAGCTTCCTTCCTTTAAGGCATTATGTCTGTAAGGTAGGCAGAATGACAGCATGGAAAAGACATTTACAATCCAGGGGTCCAAATGTTATTTCATGCCATGTGGAAGGACGACAAGTGCACAGGCTGCAGGACTGAGAAGACTAACTCACTCTGTGCTAACACTGCAAGTGATTGCAAACTGAGGTCACAGTGGGGGAATTCAATACTGCCTCGATCCTGCAGATCCACCTATGCTTAACTTTACATTTGTAAACAAGAGGGAGCATATGATAAACATAAAACACTAATGAGATGATAATTTGAAAGTTTGTTAACAAAACTTAATTTTTACAGGCTAGATGGCAGAGTGGTTGAGGTTGCTGAGATGCCATAGATGCAAGTGCAAACCTTGATTCAAACTTGATTCAAACACTTACAAGTAACTTAGAGTCAGCTCTTCCTGTATATGGACACTCAGACATTTGGGCTGTCTAATCAGCACCAGGGACTGCCTACAAAAATCCTAGCATCACACAAGCCTCACAGATCAGCCACAAACACAGTGATCCCTGACTCTGGTCTGCATGTTAGTTTTGCTATGCAGAGTCTCTCGGTGACTTAGTGAACAGAGCTTGCTTTACAGCAAGGATTTCTAGGTATGGTTGCTATCAGTCTCCTTGGGAATTGTGGTTCTATGAAAACTAAAGGTGATCATAGCCTTTAATGAATTTGTCACTGTTTTTTTTTTGTTTTTTTTTTTTAAATGACATGTTTGGTGATGTAGAATCTTTGTGGGCGCACAGCTCTTCCTCTCCTGCCCAGTGGCCCTTGTTCCCATTAGCCCCTTGTGCTCTTCCACTCCTGTTTCCCTTTCTCTTCAGTGAATATTTAGCTATTCTGTTTGATTTGGGACTGTTTCTGAGAGAAGGCTGAGGCAGCCCATCCACATACCTGGGGGATCCTGGCTGATGGCAGGAGAGTCTGGGAAGAGGTATGAGACGCGCACACCCCACTCTGCCTCCTCCAGCACCAGGAGGGATTGAAACAATCTCTCAAAATGTGAGAGTGTATTTGCTTGGCTTAGAAGAGGATTTTGCGCTTTTTTTTTTTTTTTTTTTTTCCATTTAATGATCATTAGAACTTCTATCCATGTCCAGAGCAGAGGAGCTGAGGGGAGGCCTGATGGTGGCTGCAGCTCCTCACAGGGAGTGGAGGGGCAGCGCTGAGCTCTGCTCTGTGTGACAGCGACAGGGCCTGAGGGAACGGCATGGAGCTGTGTCAGGGGATGGGTAACTGGGGGGTTGGGGACAGGGTCTGCACCAGAAGCTGCTGGAGATCCAGGAGTGTTTGGACCACGTGCTCAGTCATTGAGTTGGAATTTTGGGGGGGTCCTGTGTGAAGCCAGGAGTTGGACTCTTGTGGGTCTCTTCCAGCTCAGGATATTCTGCTATTCTATGGTTTGTCATTCAAATAGAAATTATCTACAGTGTAAAAGCTGCAGGAAATTAATTCATTTGATTTTTACCCCTCTTTCCCAAGTGAAACCCATGAATCTGTCAGGTCTCTGCCGTTTGGAGCTGTATTTCGGGTTACACCGGAGGCCTTGTTTTCAACCCTCTGTGCTGCTCCAGTGTAAAGCAATGGGAGAACTTGCCTGCAAGGCAGATGGATCTTTCCTCCATGAAAGGAATTCCCCTTGGGTAGCATAAGGCTGGTATTGTGAAGGTGACTCTGTCTGCTCCATTTCTACATCAAACACTGGCAGGGGGATACCAATGCCAGGCAGAACAACTAGAGCTTTTCTTGCACTTGGGGCAGCAAAATGTTAGTTATAGGACTGCTGCTACTTGTGTAACAAATTTGTTTGAAGGCTTGATGGAGCATCTTGTAGCTTCAGAACCACCTGAAAACTGACTTTACTTTCCCCCTTTCACATTCTCGTGAGTGTAAACTGGAGTGGAAGTTCAGCCCCTTCACCCTTTGTACGATGTGGATAGAAAGGAACAGAAGCATTTTAGTCTTTTCAATTGATATATTTGCTTTAATTCTGTGTCCCTGCTTTCATCTGTCATGTAATTTTGTCAAAGGTTCGTTTGGAGTAGTTGTGGTTTAAAACTGGAGAAAGAAATATTCTGCTTTGGCAAAATTTGCATGCAGAAAGTCTCCTGCAATTTGGTTGTCAGTTCATGCTGTGTGACTTTATTTACAAATACAGCTCAGGGAGTAGAAACTGCATAGAGTGCTTTTTGACAAATATCTTGGAACAGCCCTCCTTTGAGATAGCCGGTTTACAATTTTCCAGCTCCCTTTTCCAGAAATAGGAACCTAGCAACTGTATTCCATTTTATTTTCTGATTGTTTAAGTCTTGCTTCTTCCCATATACCAATCTCACAAATTTCATCAAAGCACAGTGGAGTAACCTTTATTGTAGGGTAAAGATAGAAATGTACCCGAAATGTCTGAGTTATTTGGAGACTCTTAATGTAGGCAGATTTCACTATGTTGCTAATATAAATGTTATTCTGGGTTAGGACAAATAAAACTATAAATCCCCACATAAGAATTTTAATGAGTCTAATATCTCCACAGTTAAAAAAAAAAAAAAAATCACCCAGGAAAGTTATTTATGTCAAATGTTTAATAGAAGAAATTGTGAAGACATCTTTCTATAACTTGTAGTTCTCCGCTTACTCAAGCTACACAAGAGGCCCAGATGGAAGTTATCATTGAACAAGATTTTCAGCTCTCCCAAGTGTACTAACATGACAACTTCATTTGCTAAGAAAGCCCAAATGCTCCTTAAATAAAACTGAAGGGAAACTGTAGCACCACTGCTTAACAATAGCAAACAGAAAATAGTGAGAGCACTTGACTTGAAAATTTAATTTTTGCCACCATGTATTTATCTGAGCTTAGTGCCCACTCTTAGCTGATAAGGAATAACTAATCATGATTTAAGCATTTCTTCAAACCTAGCAACCTGTTGAACAGCTTCTTAATGCACCTATCAATCACTTGGAGATAAGGATAGTTTGCACTCATAATAGCTAGTTGTAAAAATAAATAGAAGTTACTATAACTAGTTCAGTCAACAATGGGATCTTTAAGGTCAGAGTGGAAATAATCAAACAGTGCATATGAATAGGCTGTAATTTTTCTGATTAACAAATGTTTTGCTTGTCATGTGATCTTGAGGGCTGCTCTTACCTTCTTAGAGGACTAAAATACATTTCAGAATATATGTATTTACATTGGGGGGGTTAAAACAAACACGTACATTCCATTTGCCTTCTAAAGCTATCTGTGCATATAGAGTTTCTTTGTCTTTTATAAAGTATCTTCATCATAAATTTAAATTCTCAATAGGCCACATTGTAAAGCATCCAGCATAAAAAGGGGAAATCTAATAGTGTGTAGAAAGTGCTGTGGAATGCAATCTACAAATTACTGACCTACAAAATAAACATGTTACTCACATCTCTCCAATACAGCTGAAAATATAACAGCCAAAGGGTACACATTACATCTCATCACCAGTTGCTGATCAAAATAACAATGCCCTTATATAGCCAGTAGTTGTGTGAGAAGAATCAGAGAACTACAGCTATATCTGTATATACATCCCAATCAATGTCACCCACAATCTGAAAATTGAGGAGACATTGACCCTAGCTTTATGAATCCAAAATAGATACTCTGTTCACTTTCTGGGAACATCTGTCTTTGATGATTATATGAATATCATAAACCCCTAAGTTTTGATATTTTCAGTTGCACCTGTGTTATATAACTAAAAGAGTAAATGTGGATGATGTAAATATAACTTTCTTCTCTCCTTACATGTTGCTGGTACAAAAATACAAGGTCTTTTTCTATGTCCTGTGGTGACCAGTGCAGCGATTTCGAAGGTAAATATTTATGTAAATCATGTTCTGTACACAAAACCACATCTGTGCCTATGATACTATACAACCTGAAAACATCTGTGCTTTTAAAAGACAGAGTCACTAAGGCAGGAGGAGACCATGGGAAGTCTCTCATGCTGTCCTGCTCAAAGCAGGGTGAAACTAAACTTAGACCAAGTTGTTCATTACTTAATCCAACTGGGCCTTGAAAATTTCCAAAGCTGGAGCCTGGAACCTTTCTGGGGAGCCTGCTCTAATGGGTGGTTATCTTCGCAGTGGTGTTTTTTTTGTTTTTGTTTTTGTTTTTTTTTTTTGGTGAGTTCTTTTGTTTGTTTGTTTGTTTATTTATAACCTCTCCCTTTTTTCATCTTACCTTTAGTTCTCCTGCCATGTACCACTGTGAAGGATCTGGCTCCAGCTCCTTGCTGGACTCCCTGTAGACATGAGGAGCTGATTCAGGTGGTTGATGGCCATCTCTTCTCCAGGCTGAAAAAGCCTCACTCCCTCAGCCTCTCCTGACAGAACAAGTGCTTCCAAATTGCTGTTGGAAATCCCTGTGTTGGCAAGAAACCACATCATATTTACTCTGTCAGTTGGTTACTCTAACCTCGTTCATTCAATCATGAAAGGAGTGAAAGAACTTGACAGCTCTCTTGGATCTTGCATGTTTAATTCATTTTCATATTTTCCTTCCTGACAAGAAGAATGCCCTGTTGATCACAAAGTGGGATACTAATGTTTGACCTGATTCTGCAAGGCAACAAAACTCACAAGTTTTGTATGCCTGACAATTCCCAGAAGCCAATAAATACAACAAGGATGTTGGCTAGTTGATGTATTTCAGTATTCAACAGTATTCAAGAGGAAAAACCAGTCAGGAGAGAGCAAACTACAAAGGAGTTTTCCAGAGGAAATTTGCTTAAAGTCCACAGAAGAATGAGACTCAACTGATGTCTAGGAGGAGCAAACAGGACTTCAAATACCATGGAGTCATCCTGGAAATAACCTTCCTGGAACAGCAGATTTGTGGAACTCACTTTATTTACTACACAAGATCTGAATCAGTTTTGTTTAAGGCAAATAACTGTACTAAATGAGATGTTGTGAGCACTTATCTATCAGTCACTTTGATCTATTTTGACTCATCCTTTTAAATTTGAACATAACATAGGAATACAGTAACAGTAACTTCCTCAGAAGCTCTTTAAAAAAAAACAGAATATAACAAAGAGATGAGCAAATCTACGCTGTTGCAGACTGGGTAGCTGGAGCATGCCTTTTCGAAGATCAATACAGTTTTTATTTTAGGGTCAGAAATAGAGAATCCTCTTGATCCCTTGATAGGCTTTTCAACTTTTTTATTACTCTCATAGCTGAAAAAAAAAAGTTTCTAAACACAGTGGTTAATGCAAATGCACTCATTTAGAGGGATCTAGAACAGAATTTCATATGAATTTTTCAAGATACTGCTTTGATCTCATTTGTGAGAATGTGTGTGTGTGAGTTTGATTTAAATCTATCTATACCTGCACGCTCATTTTATGTTTCAAAAACTTAACAAGATATGTAGGTAGGTAAGGTGGGAAATTATGAGTATGTCATTGAGGACACGCATAAATATAAATCATTGGCTCTGAAAAAATGAGTCCTTTGGAAAGCATGTTGAGTAAACTAATTAGTATTTATGTAAAACCACTCAGGTCCCCAGCAATATCATTCCAGAAAAGGTTTTCCCTTCAAGTAAGTAAACGCAAGGCCCTTACCTACTTGCAAAGTTTTAAATCTCATAATGCAAAATGTCACATTATTTTGACCAAACACAAACATTTTTGTTTGTTTTTTGAGACTGCAGTAAGGGGTTGTTTGTGGTGCCAGCCAGTTCTTATTTCAGTGCAGCAGCCGAGCATCTGTGACTCTTGAATCTGTATGAGTTACAAGTTTAAAAGTTTAAAGCTTTCCCGTAAATGCTGATCATAAGGAAATGGATTAAAGAAACAAAATATAGAACTTGTTGAACTCGTCTCTATTTTAAACTGAAGGGATTGCATCTGACGAACCCTTTTGTTTTAAAGTAGCCATCTTGACAGCAGTGAGAACAGATTGAGTTACTTAAAGGGCCACTGACAAATCTGGGGAAACAGAAACCCCTGCAAGTTAGGACAGGGTTCTTCAGTGTCAGAAAACAGGAACTGTGTGATGTGATATCATCTGCTGCTTTTGTTCATTCCTCCCTGTCACCCAGTTGTGTTTGCCAGGTTGTGATTCAATCTAAGAAGACATGGAGTAATAAGGAGAGAAAAGTCCCCTATTCACTGCTTCCACTCATGTTGGTGAGTTAGTTCCCTATCAGAGAACCAAGCGTGGGAGCCTGGAGAGGGAAGCAGTAGACCCCAAATCGTGTGTGTACATGCACATGGCTGCTACATGCACACCTTCTGCACTGCTGGTACCCTAGGGAAACTATTGTGATCTCCTGGGAGTGGGAAAAGCCCAGGAATTAATTATGCATCCAGTTTTGGTAAGTGATTTTACCTTTTTATTTATGAAAATTTCAGTTCCCTTTTCCCCTCTAATTGCACATGCATACTTTTAAACAGAGGACAAGCACAGAGATATCCCATTTGATGAAAAAAAAAAAAGTTCTTAAAATCATTTTCTGAGCAAGGACCACAAAGCTGAGACAATCTCAGTTAACAAATAAGGCTATGCAATCTGGCTGAATATCCTTTCTTTTTAAACATCCCCTCCAGCTAACATGAGGACCTCATTGAAGTAGATTATGTATATGACTAAAATAAGGAGCCTGAGCTTAGAAGTCTAGTGCCTTCTGATGACCCCTAGATGTCTGGTGCTATTGGACACCTCAGGGTATCCAGGGCAAAGGGTTCGTCAATAGGACATGGAAGTACTGGAATGTTTTGGATGGAGGCCACATGAGATACCTCACAATACATAAGAAATCCTTGGAGAATGATTTTCAGGATCTCTGTGCCAAGCTTTAAATGAAAGTTGAGGGAGATTCACCTTCATGTTGCAGATGACAAAACTTAGGTGTCACTGCAGGCATGACGTGGGAGCCAACTATTTGAGCACCTGGCGTCCTCTGTGGAGTCCTTGCCACTACAGTGTGGGTCTGGACTGCAGTGTTGCATAGAAGTCTTCCTTGCTACAAACTGAGAAGCTCTTTGGACCCCCTGCACCAACTGCCACTTTTTATATGAGGGCTGCTCCAAAAGTAATGCTTTCTATTTCATTACATTGGACCAAGAACTTCAGAGTCAGTTGTTGGTAATATGGCAGTAGAGATTGAACCGTCCCAACAACAGGCCATTACATTTTGTTGCTCTATGCAACAGGGAGCAGAATGGCAGTCTGACATGGAAGTGTGTGTGAAACAAAGGTGTGTCATTGAATTCCTCCATGAGGTGGATGTGAGTACAGTGAGGAGATGGGTTTTATATTTCAGCAGCGGAGTTGGCAACATGAAAGACAAGTCAAATTCCAGATGACCATGCAGATTGTTTCAAGCATGGCATACAGGTTCTTTTTCATCACTGGTGGAAATGCATAGCTAATAGTTGTGACTATGTTGCAAAGTATTGTTTTATAGCTGAGAATTTGCTCTATCAACTAGTGTTCTTGTGCTCTTTGTATCCATTGTAGTTTCCATGGAAATAAATGGGTGGCATTACTTTCAGAGCAACTCACAGAGATGAGTGGATGCTCAGAGTTTTTAATGAACTGCCTGGGATTATACTGAATATTACACTGAAAAAACAAAGCCTTCCCCTTCCCCCTCCCCCCCCCCCAAAAAAAAAACCACGCACAAAAAACACCAAAAATAGACCAACAACAGAAAACAACAACAAACCAGGAATTATCTACAATTGTCTACACAGAGGGTTGGACTAAACCTGAGGGTAATTTTGTGTCTTTAGAGTCTGAAGAAAGTCTTGCTGTTTATTGATTTCACTAAAGCCTAATTATTCGTAGCGGGGACCCAGTCTGTTTGCAGTGATGCGCCCTCCCCAAAGACGTGCATAGCATACCGAGTCTCATTCCCATTTCCCCCCACATAGCTCACCAGCCACACAGCTCAGGTTCCCACTCCTAACTAGTAATGCTGATTTAAAGGGGAGAGAAAAAAGTCCTCATCATCTGCTTCCCTAATAAAATGTCCAAATCTTTTGTGAGATGCAAAGCCACATTTTGCCAGTTCCTTTTTTTGTGTGTGAAGGGGGCTACCCTGAAAAAATATGAAAATATGAAAATCTGGGGGTCACCAGGTTCTGAATAGTTCTGCCTTGGAACAGTTTCTGTGAACAAAAACCCCAACTGGAATGAAATAAAAACAAAATAATGTATTTAATTTTTGGCTGCAAATCTTTGGCCTTATTGAGACAGTTCGTCTCTCAAAGTCAGTCATCGTATGCTGGTGGCTATGCACTTAATAGAATTATAGAATTTTTGGTTTGCTAGTAAAACATATAAACATGAAAAAAAAAAAAAACCCAACCAACCAACATAAGAAGATAGCTTCAAAACCATATTATTACTTTGTTTAGACTTGGTTTTCTTTTTACTTAGCCAACTAGACTAAGGAACCAAAATGGAGCCTTTCATCTCATGCATTTCTTGAGGGAATTATCCATAAATGCTTGGGTTGTATCTTTGTCATCTGAATTTCTAAGTTATTTCCTGTTCAAATTTTGCATAGGGTCAAGTTTGCTTGAGTCCTTCAGGTACCTTTAGGTAGTCATGGCAGAGCTATCATCAAGATTAACCATCAAACGTTGATTCCCAGTTAATAAAGAAAGAAAAAACTAACTGGTGAATTTATCAAAAGATAAAATGCAGTTTATTTAAATGAATCTGTTAAGCAGTAAATCTTCAAGGCACAAATTTCAGGGTTGTTGAACACTGTTCTCCTATGATTTCACTGTAAAACTGACTTGCATAGTCTGTTAAAATCATGTGCTTCAGGCTGATGTGTCTGAATCCTTTTCCAAAATAAGTACAGGAAATGTGAAACCTTTTGTCCAATCCTATTCTATCACAGCGTGGTAGTATGGTGATGAACTCATGAAAATATCCACAAAATAAAAATTAGTTTGTCCTGCTACAAGAATAAGACATGTCAGTTTGTCTTTTACAAACCACAAATCATCATCATAATTTTCCTACTATCTTATCAGTTATTCTAGGTTTTGTGGTTGCACATAGTGGTAGGAAAGGGGCCTGTACTGTTATTTAGACAAATTAGACACGAAAAAGATGAGACATACATAGAGTTGTCAAGAATAATAGCAGGTTGCACTGCTAGTAAATACTGTGTTTTGACAATAAGTCTCACCAAAAATAAATGATTTGGGACCCATATATACATCCATGTATTTTCAATTTGATAAATTTCATTTCTGCAACAAATTGCTATTGCTGCCTTGCTAATGAGCTCTTGAGCTCTAACTAAAGAGATACTGAAAGTTCTTAAATAGCTTACACAGTTCAGTCAAATGACATTCTTATGATGTTTTATGTGGATCAGGATGAATTGTGAAGCATTTTGGGGACAGGGAAAAAGGATCTGAAAAGGATAGTATGGGAAATGCCATCTATCACTGACCAAAACATAAACCAGTACATTAGTTCAATCTAACTGTCTTCCCAGCTTTACCTACTCTTATTTACATAAGAAAGTAGCTCGAAAATGAGCAAAATATATGAAACAAACCTAAAACTCAAAGCAAATATTTGCCTTAATGCTCAATCTTCCCTCTTCTAGATTTAAACTAATATTTCCAAAATACATTTGTGAAAACATTTCTTATTTAAAAGCAAAGAAAAATCCCCTGTATGGATAGGCTTAAAAACTCCCTAATTATTTTTGAGTCTTGTTACAGTCTGTCAGATAACTGTTTGATCTTTCATTCTTTTAAGTCGATATCAAAACTCTTACTGAGTTTAATGGATTCAGAACTCAAGCTGAAAAAGGGAATTTTAAAAATACAGATTCTTGGCACCGTGTACCATAACATTTCTGAAGGCGTATGATGTTAAAAAGGCTTTTTAGAAGGAACAGAGTAAGCTTCTTTGAAGTTATTCAGCCTATTGGGCATACGAATGTACAACAAGCATACAGTATGTTTGCCCATTGAAGACTCATGTTAAGTTTTAAATGATACAAATTCCAAGAGCTGTAAATACTGGCTAGAATCTCATTTGCTTTCACAATTCTAAATATCCAGATTTCTCATAAAACTTAATGTGTAGGTCCTTTTCAAGAACAGAGTTGTATCTATGTTACATGAACATCTCCATTCCTTACACCTTCTCTAGTTCTAAATACCTCTTTGCTGTTTTTAGAGATTGTTCTTCTAAATGCAACTGGCTGAATCAATTTTGAAACATAACTTTCAGCAGAAATCAAGAATTGACTTCAGATTAGGATCTCACCATAGCAACAGATGACTCTTTTGTTAACGTAACATGAAATTAGATTTACAGCCAGAGTTTGAAAGGGGTTTAGTGCCTCCTTGCAGTTCCCTCCTTGGTAGCTTCTTGTGTTCTACATAAGGAGGTGCTTGCTGCACTCTGTGCGTGCATCTACATTAGCTATTTACCACTCTGGAGAAGTGCAAGATTGTCATGTCTGTAATTGAAATCATGCAGCGCACACATGAGAGCACCTCACTGGCAGTGTGGTGCAAGATACCTCCAAAAGTGAGGAGAACATATTCCCAACATCCTCCAGCATTTGCATTCTGCACAAGTGCATAATTCTGTTGGCAACCTCAAAGCAGGCTGGAGCAATCTAGTAATTACTAGCTACAGATGCACAGTGTCACATGCGCAGGACATGAAGTTGCTATGAAATTTGTTGCCATGATGGTACCCTTAGATCCAAAGTGGATCACATCAAACCAAACCCTGCTCCTGCCTGTTCTTGTACCTCACAAGTTGGTAACGTGAATGCCCACAAAGTGGCAACTCACCTGAGACACACATGTATCTGATCTGTTCGTATACCTACCCTACCTCTTTAGCTCATGGACCTCATGGACCTGAGGATCTTATCAGAGGAATTTCTCATCTAGGCTTCCCATTGATAACACAGATATTCTGGGCCAGAGATCATGATACCTGCCATAAGGAGACCTGCGCAAGGACAGATCCAGCACGATATTCATTATGTATATTCATTTATACTTCACTTAGAAGTATAAGTAGTACACAAAATGGACTGTGGGATCATTCTCTGTATCTGAATTTGTTCCTGGAGTAAAGTTCTAGAATTTATTGAAGTCAGGATGCTGGAGTGACTTGCATGTGCAAATTAATAAGCAAAGCTTTAAACCTGCATTGGGAAAATTAAAATGGCAGAGCTGCCAGGAAAACAGTTCTAATGGAAGGCAAGCCTTATAATAAAAAGATATCTGAACTGGAATCTTTGGGTCTAAGAAGGCTATCCATCAAATTGTAGAAAAATGGTTGTTGCAGGCAGGAATGAGAAACATGGTCAAGACTTAGTGATGAGACTGTTCTGGTTTGTGCTGTAAATTGTCTAAGCCTTGCACTGCTGAAATCATTAGGAAAACTTACCATGATTTTTTTTTTTTTTTTTAAGAAAGCAATGAAAAAGCTTTTCTTGCCAAGCTTTAACTTGATTTGCCTCATGAGAATAAAGCCTCAGTGTGTATCCTCTGCTAAATGAAATATGTGTGATAGACTCTTCCTTTCAAAAGAAAGATGAGTCCACAATTACTGCACGATTTCTATATTTCTATATTTCTAGATTTGGAAGTTGTATAATCTTTGGAATAAGAGGATATATAGCATGACTGCATTTCACAAAGTGTTGCTTTGCAAAGCTACCTGTATATGAGTCTGAAGTTGTTCATCTTCCTATAGCTTACTCCCCAGGCTGATGAACTTTGCCTCATGGCAGGATTGTTAACCCATATGAAGTACTATGCTAATATAGCTATATTGTGTTTGCAACCCACAGTACATAGTTTCTAGTCAGTTTGACTGCTTCTGCATTAAACTACAGTCATGGCTCAGGCAAGGTCTTCAAAATACCCTGCAAATGTGAATCTCAGAGCCTGTCCCTGCCTGTGCTCCTCAGAGAGATTTCTCATTGCAGGCAATGGGAACTTAGCCTAAGGAGACCATGACTGGGCCTTTAAACACTCAAGACCAAAATTTTGAATAATTGACTCTCTCTAGTTTGCCTCAAGATATTATGATAGTTTTCAAAGGCTGGTTCCAATATAGCAATAAGCCACAACAACGTGTGTGTTAGTATGCAATCGGTGCATGCCTTCAGTGCATTGGCATCGAGCCTTTACCACCCAAGAAGTATTCCCGAAGTAATTCAAAGCCTACTGAAATCTGTGGAAAACTTTCTATTTGCTTCATTTGGCTTTGATTTCCATTGATTTCAACAGGCTTTGGATCTGCCCCAGAGATTTCCAGACCCTCAAACAAAATCTGTTTACATGAAATTCTTAGATAAAGTGTACAAACAGCTCTTGGAACAAGAACCAGCACCTAGGACTCTTCTTGCTGATGGCCCTAATCACTGTGCTGCAGTCACACCCATTTTTTCCTTTTTCTCTCTTTAGGCCTATAAGTTTGTTTTCCATGCAGCTTGGCAACTTGAGTACAGACTTGACCTAAGCATTCCCTGGGGACTTGGAAGATAGGTAGCCAAACCTCTCCAAGTGGGTAAAAAAGCATAGACT